TTGAAAACATAATAACTTCGGAGAAAATAAGGAAATATTCTATTTATTTTCATTCACGTATCTGGACTGATTCCCTGCACAGTATAATTCTGGTTTGAAAAGGATGGCTATGAAAGCTTCTGTCAGCTCATTGTCTACCAAAACCTCAAAATGTGAATATAGGAATATATATTGTCCACAAAGGCTTCTATTTCCTGAGGAAGCCCCATATTTTTTTGAATAAGCCCTAACCAGTATCTTTGGAAAAATTCACATAAATTGGCTATTCAGAAATTAGACCTTAAACTCAGGTAGCCGTGGATAACGGGTTAGAGGAGAGTCTGATATCAATTTAAATAGTCTGATATTAATTAAATTAAGTAACAGTTCTGGAAGGGTGATTCGAGTCCCTGGTCATGCGAGTTTCTAAGGCGACGCCAAAACTCGGGTATTACCGTCATTAGGTATGAATAGGTTCTCTCCGTCCCAAAACTCTAGACTCTTGACAGTGGCTCTTGGAAGTCACCACGTTCCATTTCGAAAACGAAAAATGAGTTCCCATAAATTCATGAGATTAAACATTGGCTACCGATTCTTTTTAAACTTCAGAGACCTTATGGATACTTCTTTGGATAGTGCGTGCATTCACCTCACTTATTTTTGGAAGGAAATTTGAGGAATAAAATGAACTATTGGATTTCCAAACAGAGCACCCTTTCCCTCCGTCAGTGAATCGTCAAAGTCTTACGTGCAATCTCGATTGTTTTCTTCGCTTGTGCCTACCAATTTTTGCCACTTCAGGTCATCCCACTCTTGAATTATTTTTTTCACTCTCTCTTCTTCAGGAGTGGTTGGCACTCGAGTGACAAGTGGGGTCGATCCGATCTTCTATACGCATTATCATTTTCGGGAAAATGTTCGAGCCGATGATATCTCGCTCCTTTTGCATCCGGATTTCACACCGTTTGACGCCCGCAACGTCGCGTGGGAGTTGCAAGAACATTACGTCAATGCGTCGTGGGGTCTCTCCTCGTTTTCAAGTGGATCTTTTATTTTCCGCAACATTCGATGAATATGAAAATAAATTTTTTATTTTATTTTTAATATCTTAAAATAAATCTTAATTGTTTCAAGATTCATGCATGCTGAATCCCTATTAATTATCTGCCAAGTTCTGTTTCGATTTTTTTTTTTACCTTAACTCTCTCTGCAAATTCGGAGATCATTATCACGTATTTCTTGCAAGTAATCCATGTAGAAAAGCTGAAAGAAAAACGATTGATGCTTTTGAATTGTGGTGCTGGAGAAGATTGCTGAACGTACCATGGACTGCAAGGAGGACAAACAAATCGATATTGGACGAAGTAAAGCCGATTGCTCTCTGGAGGCATCAAAAACAAAATCGAGGCTGAAATATTTTGGCCATATAATGAGAAGACAAGACTCATTAGAAAAGACATTGATGCTTGGTACAACGGAAGGAAAAAGGAGAGCACAACAGAGAACACGATGGATGGACACTATCATGAAAGACACACAACTGGGGATGCAAGAACTGAAGGAGTTGCCCATGGATAGAAAATGCTGGCGAGACCTTGTCCATCGGGTCACCAAGAGTCGAACACGACTAAATGGATAAAACACACACACACAACAGAAAATATATAGGAAGTTCCATACGTACAGAAATGTAGAAGTAATGTCAAACAAATGAAGCATCAAACTCATTAAAGCCGTTCAAATTTTTTCAAGACAATTTTGTATATACTGTACTGCAACAAAATACGAAAATATAAATATATATATTAAAATCAAGTGTGAGTGATAGAAATCACGACAGAAACCTCTTACAAGTCACGCCAAAGCTAAAGCAAAACCAAGGGAAGCCATGGGATGGAACGTCGGGAGTGACAGGTGAATGGAAGGGAAGGGGTTAAGAGACTGAGAACGATTGGGAGAACTGTCTCGCTCGATGAGGTCGTTGGTGTGCATGACATAGCTGTAACCAGGGAGAATCGCGCAATATTCGTGCAATCAATATGGCCAAATACAACAGCATAGTTGAATTATGGCGTTGGGATCCTTTTCTTAAACACGGATGTGGAGGAACTGCCATGGTTCTAGTGAATAACGAGCGCCTAGGACTTTATGTTCCTGCCAGTTCCTTCACTCGGGGATAAGGTGATAATGACTTTCCGGCAAACGACGAGGAAAAAGATGAGCTCAATTGAGGAGTTCCCTAGAAAAGGGGCGCATGTGCAAAAGATGCAATTCGAGATAAATGATAAAACCTTCTCATAGCTAATCTGAAGCTGGCCAAAGCTTAATTATTAGTAAAATGGTGATTCAGACCTTTTTCCAATTGAACTTCGGGTTTTAACGAATATCTTTATCTCACATTTTTGTGAAGCAAACAGAAAGTGTTTATGCACATGCTCCCTTTTTCCAGCGAGTCTTTCACCACTTCTTTATAGTTAAAAATAATAATTAATCAATAAATGCACATACAGATTTCAAATAACTCTCTCTTGAAGAATAGCAATGAAAATGCGAATTTTCACGACGCGTTTCTTTCACTAATTACTCAGAAATGATCACTTGTTAATGTATTCATAACCTGAATCTGGAACTATTTCATGAATATATCCAACTTCTCAGAAAGCTATAAGAATACGATAGGGATGTTCCGGCCGACCTTGAGGCCACTGAAGGACACAAACTGGCCCTTATTAATTCTTGCCGAATGGCAGCGTCCTTCGACAGCGTTCGTTCGATGCGAGACCGTCCCGGAGCGACGGAAGCAGCAAGTCGATCGTGCAGCTCGAAGGGCAACCACGAACGCGATGCGATGGTATCGAAGAGCGTGATGGTGTCTTCCCGTCCAGGATGAGCGAATTTTCGCTCTCGTTCGCTTTGACCTTCTCGTCGAGCCGGCTGGGTCGGGAAGCGCTCGTCCTTCCCCTCCCCGTTGGTGATGTGTGGGGTGGGACATTTTCATGGGGGGAAAATTCATCGTGAAAGTATTCGATTCGTATTCGGTCGTCGAATTGTATCTGTAACGTCGTATCGTTAACCTTTGGAGAATTCATACCGATACTCAAATTCTCTGTCCTTTTAGTGTGCTCCGAGAGGCCTCGGATAATCCGCGTCTTTCTGGCTTAGAATCATCTGCGATTTTGGATTAGCCCACCAGAAGCGGTAGAAAAGAATCACTCATTCGATCGCAAAAATAATGCACTCTAGACCAGGGGTCTCAAACTCGCGGCCCGCAAACTCTCTCAATGCGGCCCGCGACCCACCTGCGTACACCGAGAGAGAAACGTTTCAGGCCCATTACACACAATCAAGGAAAACTTTCGGACTTTTCTCACTTAAGCCCGCAGAGAGGTCCGACATTGACGATGCGGCCCGCACACCGAAACGAGTTTGAGACCCCTGCTCTAGACGATCTATTGGAACTTGTGGAGAAGGCATCCTCCAGCGCGCTCTTCCTCGAGCTCCACCTCCCGTTTCGCGCCGCGACCACCGTCGTGGAGTGACTTGGCGTCTGGAGGGACGGACGGTTCGCCATCGCGATCTACATCCAAGAGAGCCTTCAGTTGCGATTCGGGCGCGAGCAGCGAGGAGCATCGTGGTGAGAAAATCAAGACCGGCAGACCCGAAGTTGTGCTAAACTTCGACTCGAGGAGGAGGGAGGCAAAGGTCCACCATGTATTCCTCCGTCTGTAAGTCTCGAATCGATGGGCGAGAAGTCGAGATGTTCCCTTGAAGAAGGGCCGCTTTCTCCTCTCGATTGCAGGCGATCCAACTTCACCTTCTAGGGACGAATGCCCGCGTCCCGGCTCGACCTTCCATGAAAATGTGCTCATTTATCATTGGATCGTCGAAGGCATTTTCACTCCATTCCTTTCGGTTGTAATGGATTTATGTCCTCGAGGACCCGGAACGAAACACTCACGGGACACGGTGCCCTCGACGGATTCGTCTTCTTTGGGGCAGCAGCAACAGTAATTGCCCAAATTGCCACCTGAGGGTGTTGGGTGCCGAACTCGCAAGGATTCAAAGCGATCTGATCTCTGACAAGAGATCAGATCGCTTTTTTGCCAAGCCACAATTTTGCCAATTGCCAAGCAACAAGGAATCTTCGAATAAACAACGAATGAGAAGCGGAATCGGTGCTTCGATTCTTCGCGCTCTCATCTGGATTCCACGAACACTGCCATGCAGAACGGCCGACGAGATCTGGAAACCCATCCGAAGTGAAAAAATTCGCAGGGAGAACTTTCGCTCAGGTTTCTTGAAACATTTCGGCAATAGAGGGGGGGGGGGGGGGGGACCCACCCCGGANAAGGTCTGCGATCCCACGGGGTGGGGGGCGGGCGGGGGGGGGGGGGGGGGGGGGGGGGGGAAGCCAACTCGGACATCATCGATCGTCGTGGTCTCCGGGGGTCTTGCCCCATCCTGCCGAATTCCTTCGGGTCAGGCTTTTATGTCGATTCACCCAGCTTCGTTCTCCGTCACTTATATGGTCTGTCGACGAATGGAACCGCCAGCGTAATGCGAATGCAAATGCAGTCGGGGAGTCTGGCATTCGCATCAGTCTCGGCCTGTGTCACTTTTCCGTTTCTGGCGGTGTTCCAATCTCTCTACGAGCATGCTTGGCTGCGATTCTTTCTTTCGTCCTTCCGACCTGGGAATGCATGCTGCACTCCTGCTGTTTATCTTTCAGAGCTTCACTTTTTCGACACCGATCGAGAGCCAGCCAACGCTTGCAATATTCTTCAGCAGAAAACCAGGCCTCAACGTTGGCCAAGAGGGATTACAACTCGATCCCATAAAGCGTGGCGAGTTCAGCATGGCGAAAATTTTGGGCTGGTATATTACAAGTGTGACAAGTAACAGCTTATGTTCGCATCCCGACGAGACCATATTCAAGTTTCTGATAAATACTTTCAAGGGTGTAGTTCATCCAAAAATTTAATAAAGAGATGGCACTAGTTTATTATGTACACGAGCGATATGCCTTCAGGCCTCAATCATACAATGGAATCATTTCCATTATATTTTTGAATGAACCATGTACAACAGATTCCATGATTTAAAAAAGACACAATAGGATTTCCAGAGTCAATATGCCATTTATTCCTGTGGAGACCGATAGGCAACAGCCAATGCTGTGTCGAGTCCCCTCCAAAACAAAAGCGATGCTAAAATAAACAGGAGGGGGGAAATGCCTTTAAATTTCATATCACATCTGTGCTTAGAGAAGCAACGAGCATGGAAAAACTCAGACTTTCTCCAGAACTCTCCTTCCTCTTCGGCAATTCACAATCGGAAAAGCATTGTACGGAACATTGGACATGCAAAATGCACACGTCACACCAGATGCTCTGCTAAATGCATGTAGAAAAAAAACATCAAGACACCACATCAGAAAGACAGGTTCAGATTTTGATGGGGAATGGAGGACGCTGTAAAATACATCAAGTTTTGAAGCATCACATCAATTCAATCAATGAACTTTGTTGGAAGGAAGCATCTCAGTCAATATTGATCTATAAATGGTTTGCAAAATTCAGTTTCTGAGACAGCAGCAATAAGCAACAGGAGACGACAATCACCTAAGCAGGATACAATTATGATACACTGAGTGGAAGTACGGATTTCTCACTCATGCCTCATTGAGCTTACTGCTTTCATGATGGCCAAATTTGAACAACTGGAAGTAAATGATTTGTTGATCTCTCCTGATATGTTTTTTTTTACAGCAAAAGCTTTTGATTATAGTTGGCTGAAAGTGATTCAAATTCCTGGTTTCTTCACAGCTGCAACTAGCAGAAAAAATAGTTATGAGGCATGTAGCAGTCACATTCATGATCGTAAATACACTGCACAAAGGCTCAGCCCTAGATATAACAGGATACACTTGGCACTGCTTTCGTCACTCTACAACAACGTTACTACATCAGATATTGAGAAAAAAAAAAAACAGAACTGGGCACCATCCATTCAATGAGCAACTCAGAATTTAGGCAAGTGCATGCAAGGAAGAGAAAAAAAACTTTATTATAGAAATACATGTAAAAAAAAAAAAGGCATGGAAGACGGTCAGGCACTGAGCTGAAAGATCCAACCAGAATCGAAGCACATTGTTCCTGAGGCAAAGAGAACTCATGGCTAGCAAGAGAAATGGGAGAGAGCAAACTTTGCTCGTGCACGAAACCCAGAGAAAAATGCAACCATAGACTAACGAGGACGGCTGAATAGCCTAAAATGCATTATGTCTGGAGGTGTAACAAAAACTACAAAAGAAACAAGAAAAAAAGGAGATAATGATATCACAATCACTTGCAGAGAATAGTCCCTCCAGTAAGATTAATTCTATTTCTTTCAATTGATTCCCAAGAGATGCATGCCTATTTTTTAAAAGTCTCTTCCTCAAGTGAAATGGATCTGGAAAGGACCAATCTGTGTCACATAACAAGCTCTTCCTCATCATCATATACATTCACCAAACAAAATCAACCAGTGGAAGAGTGTGGAATGAAGATGGACTAGGAAAAGGGCGAATTGTGGTTATGGTGGTTGTTAAGATGATGATGGTGATTATTATTGAGGTGATGGTGATGGTTGTTGGGACAGGAGGGTGATGGTTTCACTCCATTGGGGACACTAGCTTTGGAGGTCTCTTCTTCACTTGATGGTTCTGATGAACTCCTCACATCCCTTGGCTGCTGCAGCAAAAAAAATGAACTATTGAATCACAAGCTTGGGAGGAACACTTGGAAAAAGTCAAGTGGAAAAAAAATTTGAGCATAAAATCAAAGGGCAAAAGAATTGTTGAAAAGAGAATTGTTTGAGCACATGGATGAAAGAATAAATGGAGAAAACAATAGGAAACTTCTGACAGTTCATTGTTCTCATGTACCATGTGCTCATTAATGTTTTTGGATGGTGTTTGAAACTGGGTTCATGAAAAAAAATTCAAATAGAAAGCCTTTGTGATTGTTTAGAAGATATACACACTTTGAGACATGTAACAAAATAAATAACAGCTATCACTTGTGTGGGAGAAAAATGCTTGGAAGTCAATATACGAGGGCCACTTGAAAAGTTATCTACTTAACATAGTAAGAGTTCATGTAGAGAGGTGAATCTGTTATTGCTTTTCTATATGGTCACTCCTAAGTTGAATACACTTGTCCCATTTGCCCAGTAGCTCTCACATTCCTGTGTGAAAAAATTCTGAGTCTTGCTTCTCCAACCACTCACACACAGCAGCCTTCACTTTTTCATCCCTGCTAAACTGATGGCCATGTAAATGTTTCTTCAGTTGCTGGAAAAAATAATAATCACTTGGGGCCAGGCCTGGACTGTAGGGTGGATGAGAGATTTCCTCGAAGCCTCAACCGCGCAAAGATTTATTTTGGCGAAATCCCTTCTTTTGCAAGGAACTTCATAACAGCTCAATATTCCAGCTTCATGTTGTCCATTTTAACAATTTTTAATATGCTCTCAATTAAACTGCTGAAACACTACTGACCTCTTACTCCCTCTGATTAATATTTATACTTCAATGTCTTTAACTCTGTTCACAAACAGTTCTAATCTCTCCTCTTTCATACTCAATTAGATAACTTTTCAAGTTGCCCTCATATGCTATCCCTGATCCCCATAACAAATCTGCAACTTTTATTCATGTGACACCACTGCTGCATATACTTTATTTCACTTCAGGGTTATATTTCAAATATGACAGCAACATTCAGTTGCATAACCTTGCAGCAACCCTTTTCATCCTGCAGCAAAATTGAGAAGCTGAGGCAGTGGAATTTTTACATTTTAAGTTCCAATGTGTTTCAGATATCACAGGAGGCAATTGAGCCACCTTCAATGAGCTTAGTCTGTGAGATAGCCATAACTTATAAAGTTAAATTATTATTTACAGAATTAAAATGTGTAGAAATTCTCTATATGATCAATGACTACCTGATTGTAATACTAGTAATAACAGTTTTCAAGGCAATACAATAACATACATTACTAAACTCATGGTATATCTTTCCATCAAATGCTGAAACAGACATCAACATTCATGTGACAGGAAAAGACCAATCATGGTGCTCCCTTGATAGTATAGGAGTAGTTTGAAGTTTAGCTTTTCTTCATGAGAAATTGATCCCTGAATAGAGAATTAGAAGCCAAGTATAGTTTACTCTGCTTATTAGAATACAATATAATGGAACTGCCTAACCCCTGCAGTCCTTCTTCAAATGGCACTCTACATGGCTTGGCAGTCATATTTAAGAAGACATGAACTGCCTATTTCTTGCTGTGACAACTATAGTCATTTTCAAACTAATCTATACTAGCTAGAGATATGAAACTTTCAGGGTAAAGACACTATATGCTCAAGCTAAATGGAAATTTAGCTATAAAAACAAATATCAAACTGGTAACCATTATGATGATATCATTCGACAGTAGTAAAATACACTGTAACATATTAGTTTCCAGACACTCTTTCTTCATGACTTTTGCAATTATATTACACAGGAGCTGCAAATTTATGCACAGATAAGTATTGTATTTAATTAATTTTTCTGCCACTTTTCCAGGGCACTTGGAAAATATGCCTATTATTGTTTGTATTTTACAATATAAGAAGGTTTGTATCAATACATAAAAACAAGTGGTAGGTCACATTTAGGTCACTAAATGTCCAAAGAATGTATTTGTAATGCACAAAGACTACAAAATAAGTATTAGTATCACAGTAATGTCATCTACTTGAGAAGCAACCAAACAAAAACCATACGATATATAAAAACAAGCAATAGTTCACTGAATGTCCACAGAACATAACTCTAATGCCAGTCAAAACTGTGGAGCCAAGAAGAGTTGGAAATGGTGAACGAGTCTGACTCGTGATGTAGCTGTTCAGCACTTCATTAAGGCAGTGAGTCAGGCTTGTTATTAGGACGCAAGGGGTTAATGGAAGACCACAGAGTAGCCCATATTAGTTCTATTGTATGAAGTTATTCTATCCTGTTAAATTCATCTAAATTCTTTTCCATTAATTAGTTAGTGTTTAGCAGAATATTCCAATATGTTGCATTCCATTTTGTGGAGTCAATAGTACATCATTTCTAATTGTTCTTGTTAGTTTTCATGGTACTTGGGGTTGAAGAGTTCAAATTCATATTTTTCAGGGTTTTATCTCCAATTGGTATCTCACCACTGCAGAGCTGACTTTAGGTGGTCATATTGGGTCATTCAGGTGCAAAAAATGCATCAAAACAGAACATGGAAACAGTTCTATGTGTCTTGGCTCAGGTCAATTGAATGCACCCTCTGTCTTGAGAGTGAGAGCTCATAATTAAAGTGCAGGGTGGGCTAAAAAAAACTTGGGTTATCTTCATCACTCCACAGCACTGGTCTCCAAGAGTTTGCTAAAATTATAATTGTGCCTCCATGAAGAACATTCATTTAGCTCTTGAATGATGTCAACAAAATAAAGATTTGTGGCCTAACTACCAAGCAGTTAGATGAAGAGTAGAAGAGGTGGTGCTGGAAAAGTAGGTGCCACACTGTGATTTCAGCCAGTGCATGCAAAAGGTCGCATTTTGCCATAAATGAAAGAATGGATGTCACTTGGAGCACATCCCATATTGTACTGGTAAGTGCACTTTGACATCAGTGGAAAGCTAAATGAATGTTCTTCATGGAGGCACAATCATAATTTTAGCAAACTCTTGGAGACCAGTGCTGTGGAGTGATAAAGATAACCCAAGTTTTTTTTGGTCCACTCTATATAAGAATGAAAGCTTGTGTGTCAAATGAATAACATGACTGGTGGAAGTCATCTCAAAGTCTGTGAGCAATGACATAGCTGCCAAGTTGTCAAGTTCAGATGAGAAAATAACATACCTCCTTTCAAGAAAACAAAGTGGAAAATATAGAAGTAAATTCAAGAAATGAAGATTACATGATATTCTCATGACAGTATTTCCAGCTGCAGCACAGTTTGTGTTATAATTAAGCTGTAGAATATTACAGGATATTGAAAAATGTCTCAGGAGTCATTTGCTGTTTATTACAGATGTTATAATTACTTCACCACAGGCCTGCCATTATACCACCTTCTGATGTTTTTTTTTCAGGTTACAGTGAAATTAAGTTTTTTTTATACCCATATTTTTGCAATGCCATATATCCATCTGGATGAACATATGAGGTAGGAAGCACTTACATTGGAAGTAGCAACAGTGCAGAGAACTCGGAGGATGAGATAGGTCCAGTAGACATGCAAGACCTGGAGAAGCACGAGGCAAGTATTGAGGAAGTATAGGCCTGGGAATGGAGCTGGCAGCTGGACAAATGAATCGATCCAACAGCTGAAACGCACAAACAGGCTGAATATCAGACAAGGTTCTCACACAGGTGATACAAAAAAGAAAAAGATCTCATAAAGGGCTGTTTCTGATCTATATTAGCATAAATCTGGGCAAAGAATAGGAAGATTTATAACAGCAGACATAGATCTTCAAATCCAACTATTTTTCTTCTACTTCAGAGATATGATAAGTCTACAAGTTAAATAAAACTATTTACCTATGTCCTTGAATATACTAAAAGCTATATTTCTAGTATATCTTATAATACCTATTCATTGGAATAACAGTTGATTATATATTAATATTTATATTAGTTCCTTTTGATCAACCTTTCACAGCAAAAGGTGTAGTCAGTGTCAGTTTTTTTTTGTATCAGTCATAAACAAGACTGCATACCTTTCTTATATTCAATTTCCATGGCACATCAGGATGGAATAGAATTCTCTGCTACTCTCCATTAGGTATAGACTAAAAATGTGAGGGCAATACCTTGAACAAGAACTTTTCTGAGAAATAATCAGTGATTATATGTTTCCTTTTCTAAGTCTATTTCATCAACATTACTCTACAACAGAAGAGGCCTAAAATATTGAGGAATAACATTGTCAGATTTATCCATGATTGAAACAACATGCAGAAAATAATGCTATATTAGTATCTGAAGTTCTGGTATAATAGGGTGAATAGTACAGGAAACTAACACCATTAACAATATTCCTTGTAACAAAAATGTTGAGGGTCATCAAATCTATTCACATTATGAAGAAAATGTACCATAATACATAAAGGCAGAAAACAGAGAGCAAGATCCTGTTAAGGTAATGTAAGTAAAATGGCCATGAAAGCAAGTAAGCACTCCATCTGAAATTAGTGAGTATATGTGTACATGAAGGCCTCTACTCAGAAAAAAAGGAGAACTATCCCTATTGAACTTCTGCAGGCCTGTAAGAGCTGTACATTCGGCCCTTGCTTATCGCGGTTAATCAGTTCCAAACTCTACCGCGATAAGTAAATTTCCGCGAAGTAGGATTCTTCATTTATAAATCGAATATTTTCATAGTTAGAGCATAGAAAACCTGTTTACGACCTTCTAAATACGGGTTTTAACATTATTAGAGCCCATTTCATTTTCACTGTCTCGATCAACTTTTAAATGAATATATTTGAAAAAACCGCGATAGAGTGAAGCCGCGAAAGTCGAAGTGCGAAGTGGCGAGGGACGACTGTAATCCAAAATGCTTACATTTACAGCAAGTGACCAAAAAAAAATCTCCCATGTCAATACCTTTTTTTTTATTCATCTGGATAGGACTGCAGGGTTAGATGATGGAAAAAAAAGCCCTTTGGTGGCTTCTGAAATACTCTCTCGCCCTTGTTTACTAGCTTGCATCATTCTACCAGGGTCTAAACAAATGGACCCATTCCCCCAACCTCCTTTCTACTTCCACACAATTTCCATGTTATAAACATGCATTCACACTTGGTGGAACAAAGCAAAAGAATCCCCAGAGAATGTTGCATGACCAATAGGAAATTCTGTGCACTCATGGGCCACCTGACCATAGATTTCCAATCAAAGACAGACCTCTGAGTCAACTCTGTTCTCAATTTCATTCTGTCACAAGTGTGAATGCTGACTTGGAAGTGATGCACTGCTGCCCTACCTATCCATGTAAGCCTGCAGGTTCACTCACCTCAAAAAACCCCACTAAAGGTGGCAAAGTGAAAGTGTGAAACACAGTGCGTTCAAGAAAGCATATTTAACACCTTGAGCACTGGCAATTAGAATGCACTATAGGTGGAGGATGTCACATGACAGCTGCAGGGCTCAAAGTGTTAAATAGAAGAGGGAGAATGATAGCAGACAGATGGTAGGTAGATGTTAATCATTCACTCACCACTTGAAGACAATGTAAGGGAAGACACCAAGTCGTGTGATGAACCACGTTATGGTGAAGATCCCAAATGTGGAGTTACACACTATCTCGTAACGCTTTCCCAAGTAATTGTACATCTTTGCTGCCTAGAAGGCCACAGAAAATCAGATGAAATATGAATAGCAGAGGAATTATGGAGGGAAAGAATTCCTCGAGAAATAGATCTAATGAAAGGCACAGTCTTGACTTGCCTTCATCATGATCTATAAAGATTTCAGAGCCAACTTGATACTGACCTCCATGAAGATGTCTGAAATATCATGTAGCAAAAGGATGAGGGTCCCAACACGAAAGCACGATGACAGCCATGAAAATGTCATAAGCAAAATTGTGGCACAGTGATGCAAAAACATGGGATAGAAGTCCTTGCGACGCACATCAAAGAATTGTGACAGCATCAATGACCAGTAGAAGCCCAGCTCAAATATATAATACCATCGTATATCCCACGTCACAGGCTGGAAGAGATAAAGATTATGCATGAAAGAGCTCAACAGGCCTTCAACAACTTTGCAAAATATGAATATAATTACTTCCCCATTTTATACATTGGAGGCTCAAACTTCTGTAGCTCCACTTTTGCAGTATAAAAATTAATCATGCTGAATATTAAAATATGACTAAGTGGAGTAAGAATATTATCATTTGCTGACACCTAAAAGTATTCTGGCTTGTGACTGATATTTGGGGGACTTGTGACAATCAAGAATTGAAATGTCACAGGATCACCTGGCTACAATTACATACAGAAAGGGTTGAGTGTCTCACCTGATTTGGATGGCCTGCCCAGATCTGAGATGTATCCCAGAGCCAAGGTTTTCCCCACAGAGTCAAGAGGCCATACACAAAGGCACTTGAGTAGAAAGTGAACCTCCAACTGGAAAATTAAATGGAAAATGACTACCAATACAGAAACCAAGTACCCATTTGGGTACTTGCTACCCTTTAGGTAACAAAACTCAGTCTAACCCGCTCTCACAGAACTTGACAAGGAGTCCAGGTTTTCTACTTCTTTGATAGTTTCTCAGCCATCTCTTCACTTGGCCTTCACTCCACTCAACCTGCTTTGCAAGACCCATAATCTACAAAGCAAATGCAAAAATGGTTGGGATTATACTAGTGCCAAAAAAAAAAAAAATCCCTCAAAAGAGCAAAACAAAAGCCTTGAACACCTACTCCATTCTTGTCAAGGAGCCTTGTCTGAACAGCTTTCTCCAATATGTTATTTTTTGTCGCTTGTGATGTTTTCACAGGTTTCAGTCCAAGAGATATGCCCAGAGGACGAAACACCTGACTGAAAACATAAAACCAAGAAAAATGAACAAAACATCTAAACATGAATTGGCTTCAGGCCACACTGAACCATTGGTGGGTCTATGCCGATTGAAAACTCAATGAAAACTCACCTTTGAAATAAAATGCGGACAGCCAATATCAGCAGACCCAGAGGAATGGCAAGATAAACATCTGAAAACTGAGGTCTTGGCTTAACAGGAGTTGATTCTACATCTTTCCAGGTGTATCCAGCAGGCAGCCAAAAACTTTCACTCCACAGCAGGCCATGAAGATGCTCCAACAAGGAGCCCACACACAGTGCAGTCTCATTCATTGCATCAAGAATGATGAGAGATTTCAAGTTCATATATGTGATAATGTGTTATATAAGTCACATCATGTCAGCCTTGGCAAAGCCTACACTGTCTGCATGAGTTCTTCACATGCCGAGAACACATCTGCCACAAGGTAAGAACATCAACATACACTAATTTTGGGCTGTTACACTAAGAGATGCAAAACATCATGCTGGAATTCTCAGACCTATGCCTACCTCATCAGCTCTCAGAGTAAAGAGACCATGACTGTTATTGTTTTTATGCAAAGGCCTAAGCTAATAGGCTTAACCTTTCTGAAAGAAACTTGATACTATATACTTCATCTTAGGTTCTTAGGAGCCTACATCCAACCCCGAAGCGAGGGTTGTCATAGCCTTAGGCCTTACTTTGTGAACCTCAAACGGAATCTATTCCGCAGATTGATGCAGGCAAGAGGCAAAAACACGACACAATCTTTCAGCACGCAAGCCTATGGCGATCCTGCCAACTCCAGCCTATGCCTCTTATCATGCGGCCATGGCCACGATGGAGGCCCATGTAAGTTATTCGCAAAACATGCAGGCCGTCATATTGGACGGAGGAGGAAGCATATTGGCTGGCTGGTCGCTGGCCCAGGCCCCCCACCAGATCAACGAACGTTACGCAATGCCAAGACAAGAATGACCTTCATCTTGCGACCACAACCCCATCGAAACGACTCAGGTATCACTTTCTCTTTCCCACCCACCCCACTTGTCCACGTCGAAAGAGCCATAGAAAGAACAAACCTCGCAAACTCCCATTCGAATGAATGAGATCGAAGAAGCCCAGAGTTTCCAGAGTTCAGGGTCAGTGCCACTCTTGAGAGCGCCCGCGGGGCACGCTCGTAACGTCTGTACACGCCCACTACTCACTTTAAAAGCGGTTTTTTCATCTCTTCCTTATTCGGTTCCTCTGCCCCTCGTGATATCGCGTAGAAATTCCCCGACTCGCCGTGACGATACTGACGATAGCCCAAACTGGATGGGGCTCAAGGCCTCACAAATGAACGTATAAATCTTCGCCGGAGAACCCGAGTGAACTAAACGAAGATAAAGGTAAGAAACACGTTTCCCACCGCTATCGTGCGTTCGAAGCCCGAAACGACACAGAACGACACTGCTGACGTGACGGCAATGATATTCTGCAGCACTCCACTCCGCCGGATCGCCTTTCTCGAATCAGACACGAATGAAAATAGTGTCGGATCTGACTAGCGAAGTCACCACGAAGGCCCAGGCACCGCGAACGCAAAGCAGCTGTTTACTCCACGAGCTTGAAAGGGGGAAGGAACACCTGCCGCTCCATTCTCCCTCGGAAGCCCTATCCGAGTCCTTTGATGCCCCACAAGGGCGAATATGGATATGGAAGGAGTCGCGAGGTTGCTTTCGGGGATATTGCCGTGGGGAACGAATGGGAGCGTCGTTTTTCAGAGGCTTCGACGCGAGGACGACGAGAAGTGAGGAGCAAACGAAGAAAAATGAATGGCTGTCGAGTGAGAAAAGGCTTGAATGCGAGGGAGAAGACGAGAACTGGAGAAGCGAAAGCGAGTCAGAAACGAGCTAAGTGGAGGTGAGAACGCTGGAATAATAAATAAGCAAAATATCCTTTAAGAAAAAAAAAAGGGAAGACGGAAAAGCGGAAAAAAAAATAGTTGAGATCGAGAACTTCACACAGTAGAAACTGAAGAAACGAAACGAGAAAGACGAAAAATTTGCCTGAGACGTAGACAGGACACAGCTGGACCCCTCGGCGCAAACGGTCCCCCTCTCTCCCTCCACGTCGCCCCCGAAGGTCCGGCAACCCCGCCTTCCCCAGGCACAAAGCCGAGCGACTCTCACGGGGGCGCTCCCCCGACTCGATAATTCATCCCCATTCCCCATTCCTCCTTCCCCAGCGACAGCGAGCAAGTGCAGTGCGGGCCCGAGCGGGCGCCTTTCGGAGTCGCGATTCCGGGGAAATGAGAGCCTCTTTCATTTTCTTCTCGCTTTCTCCGTTTTTCTTTTTTTTTTCTCTTGATTTCTTCATTGTCGGCCGTCATTTGTCGTTTCTCTTTTCGGACATCCGATTCTCTCCGACGTATCAAATTCTCTCGTTTATCTTGGCGTCTGCCCATCTCGCGCTCTTTATTCAGAACTTGCCTCGTTCTCTTTTATATGCTTTTTACGTTGTCTTCTGCGTTCTTTTGCGTGTTTCAGATATTCTGCGGTGAACATTCCAGACGGTCTGTCGCCGTCACGCTTCAAAGATGAAATTCTCGATCTCATCTTCGTTTATCCCCACCATTCCGCTTTCGAAGTCGAAGCCCGTGAACGATGGAGCGGATCGCACATTCCCTTGCAGAGCAAACAGAGCAGATGGAAGCTCATCCGAGGACTTTCCGGTTCGATTCGCCGAAATGGGACGAAGCCCCTGCAAAACAAACAACGGTAAAAACGAGAACCACGAGTCCCATCTCGTCCCCCCCCCCCCCCCCCCCACTCCCCCCCCCCTCCCCCCTCTCCCCCCTCCCCCCGGTCGTGGCATCCCCTAGTGACATTCCAGCCGCATGACGCCTCTCGTCGTAAACACACGTGCGGCGACGAGCGGCACCGCGTGCTTCAGCGTTCTTTATTTATACTCGTTGAGATCCGTGCTGGTTTTTTTTTAGTGGGATCCGTGCCCCACTGTCTTTTTTTTCTCTTCGGTGGGATCCGTGCCAGCGGAGCCCGAGTCCCCTTAACGACGACCTCGGCGTTTGGACTCGTGACAGTAACGCCGACCGATCGGAATCTCATCCGGGATCATCCGGACCGATCCGATGATCCGAAAACCCTCTCGATCCCCACCTCCCGCCAAAAAGCGTCTCTCGCCAACGAAAGTCCAGAACAAAAAAAAAAAGACGATCTCGTAAGCCAATCCTAACGATCGCACGCGAACACCGCCCCGAAATATCCTCGAGGTATTTCCATCATTCCAAGATCTCAATAATTCATTTCTGCGAATGAAAAAGTAAGAAGCAAGCGTGGGAATGGAAGGACATGCCGAGTATATTGTTACGGATGGGAACTTCGGGAGTCGGACGGCATGAGAGGTCGAAAGAACCCAAGAAAGACCGCAACGATGAGTTTTTTTTGCATCGCTCACGTTTCGGAGAGCTTTCAAGTAAATAATTTGGAAAAGAGAATATTTGGGACGTGAAATCCTCTTTTCTTTTGGCCCTTTGAGCTGCGAATTGTTTAATGGTCTCTCGATTGGATGCACCTGCTGTTAATTAACATTAATTGCCATAATTAACATTTGACGACAGAGTTTGGGTGGATCGTGTTCTTCGAAGTGTCGCGAAAATATTTATGCGTGCGGAATTCGCAAATGGATTTAAAAGCCGAATTTGCGGACATTCTCTGACTGAACAAAAGGATTAAAATGTATTTAATTTATTAATATTTATTTATTTATCAGTCTTTGAGTTTCATTTCCTGCGATTGGAGTCAGGCTTCGGCCGAAGAGAGAATACCGAGAAATAATTGAGTTTGGGATTGGCAATAACCAATCGAGGTTTGTGCCAAACGATACCTTGGATCGAATGAGAGCTTCTGTGCCTCGAGAGCTTCCATTACCAACTGGGAAACTATTTTATTTCGCCTCCATCTTGTTCCGAGAAATTCCGAGAAATTCTGAGATATTCTGGGATATTCTGGGATATTCTGGGATCGATCCCGTCAATATCTGGGAAAGGGCTCTTAGGCCGGAAGGGAGAATGCGTTTGCTTTTCTCTCCAATCTCATATGCAAATGGTTGTGAATGTGGATCGGGGCCCCGTCGGCGTCGTTCCCCCGCCGGGTGGAAGTACCGAAACATTTCGGTACTCGTATCGATGAAGAATATGAGAATGATAATCCACTTTTCTTGCCTTCTGGTTCTCCGCCGCCGTTCTCTCGCTCGCGGCTCGTTCTTCTCCTCCGCTTGCCATCGTCCATCACCGCGGTCGTCTCACTTCGTCTCTCTGCCTGGTTACCTACTCCATCTCTCTCTCTCTCTCTGTCTCTCTATCTCCCTCTCACTCTCTCATTTTTCCTGATCCATTGTAAATATGGTGACCGGAGTGGCTTGTACGGTAAAGCCTTCTCTAAGTCTGGTAACTTGAAGACATTCTCTCTCGACCAGATCCGATGCGGCCGTCTTGGCGACACGTGCGACATGCCTCTTCCTTCTTCCTTCTTCCTCTCTTCTTCCTCTCTTCTTCCTCTCTTCTTCCTCTTCTTCCTCTTCTTCCTCTCTTCTTCCTCTCTTCTTCCTTTCTGTCTCTCTCTCCTGACGTAACACAATATGACCACACCGACGGCAACGACTTCCGCGGGCAAGAGGTTAAACTCACATTAGATGGTCACTTCTCGCTTGCGTCTTCATGGCTTCAAATGGTTCACAAGAGAGACTCGCCCTGATCAGTCCACAATTCCCATAATCAGTGCCAATTATCGTCCAGAGAGGACAAACTTTAAAGTTATAAAAAAAAAGACTCGGAGTTTGACTTCCATCCCGCGGTTTCAAACTGCAATCGAATGCGCTAAGGTGTTGCGTAATTTCCTGTTGCAAAATTCATGTCACCGCGATCGTGTTATGGCCATTTCCGAACCGCGAAATTCGTGTGGCATTCAGACAGGCACGGGGTTGACATGCACCAGATCCGTTTCACTTTAATCTCATCTGGTTTCATAACGGGCGTCTATTAGGGATCAGATTACCTCCGTCGAACGGATTCGCATTGAGGACCGTTGCGAGGTCAGATTAGTTCGAGTTAAACGGATCTGGTGTGTGTCACCCGCAATCTCTGGGATGACCCTAATTGGGCTAATGAGCGGAACCCGAGTTACGAGTACTTAAGTACTCCCGTACTTTCTTAACCCAAGAGATGTGCAGAGTCTTCTGCAGCAATTAGCAATGGCATAAATCGTAATGATGTCCTTGAATTCCACGTTTTCCAGCAACCCTCTCGTGGTGTATGTTCATTTTCCCTGCATTTCGCTCCTTCGTATCACGTCATATAATTAATTAGCCATAAAAGCCAATAACCTGCCTTAATAATCGCAACTCCGTAAATTTGCATGAAGTACGAGAGTGGGAGGTGAAGAAGTCGCGCGA